AGTAGTTTGTCTGACATTCTGCTTTTTGAAGGTGAATGTAACTTGGATTTGTTGCGATTGAATCGCATAATTGGAAAACCTCATTCAGGTGTTTATTCGAGTGAAAGCGCTCTTTGAGAGTAAATTTCAATCAATGTGTTGACAGAGCCAAAGAAGCTCAAATCGAACCAACGAGTTCACTTCTGATGACCTCTGAGCAAAGTTCTTGAAATTAAAAGAAACTTCAAACCAAACATATACCATTAATCACTTAAAAACTTACCATGAATCACCGAATTGATTGCAAATAAAAAACACGGTCAAATTAAAAAAACAACATCAATAATCTTTGTCATATTACATGTAAGCTTGTTTTACACTGTCCTCTGCTCAACACTTTTGTCTCTGTGAAAATGCGTTGAATCGAAGTTACAAGCACCTCATTGATCCTTTACTAACTTATTTTAATTTACATTCACTTTTAAAAAGCAGACGCTGTGTCTCTATGTCTGGCAGCTGGACAGGTTTTTCAAAATAATCCATGTCTGAATCTGGAAGGCCGCCGGCCGGTTGCCGTGGCGCAGTGGTAATGGGTATCGCTTGCCATGCCGGTGACCTGGGTTCAGTTCCTCTTGAGGTCGCCTGTCACAAAGTTCTTTTTACGTTGTTTTACTTTTCAAAAAAATAGTCTCACTGGTGGACACAGAGTATTTTAAAAAACCTGTCCGGTTGCCGGACATGTAGCCACAGCGAAATGCAGAATGTCAGACAAACTACCTACCGAAATAATTTGTGGAACTGATGGCGAACAAATCCTGAGGGTTACTCTGGATCAAATAAACAACACTCGAATTAATTCCAGAAAACAACTCAGGTCTTGTTCAGCTTTAACTATTTTATGATTCAATCACAACAAATCCAAGATGTATACGCCTCAAAAAGCAGAATGGTAGCCAAAATAATTGCCCAACGAGGTTCTGCACCCAGGAGAGCTGAACAAATATTGAAGCCTCATCACGTCACAAAGAAAAATAGTGTTCTGATTGGTTCGTGCGATATATCTACAACATCCGGCTACATCCTAATATGGCCAAAAAAATATCACTGGCAGAACAGGATTACACGAAAATTGAGCTGAAAGATCTGAGATTTTTTCTGCATAGCCATCAAACTATGCACGGCTCTATATCCTGCCGCCTCAACAGGGTCGCGTTTTCGCTCACCTGTCTCGTTGGCAACTAGTTAGGTTGAGAATTTGTTTATTTCGCTATGTGTTTTGTCAGTGGAAATCTAGCAACACTTGTTATTTTAGTATAGTTTTAACAATACTGTTGCTAACAATGGTGTCCGTGAGCCATATTTACTGCGGACAAATAGCTCATTTCCATTGCGTTTGTCTGAGTCACAGGGGATGTTTAATTTGGGTCAAATTTGTCAAAATTCTGAAGCAAAAATATGAAAACCAGCTTACCGTCATCAAACCGTGCTCTGTTCTCTGATAAAGCACGCTGTTTCAACCAATCAGAGTATATGTTATATGGAAACTTTATTATAGTAAACAATAAGCATGTTCAAACATCTTTATTGTCGAGTCATTCCAATTAGGTTGCATTTACTTACGGAGCAACGGCTGTAAGTGGGGAGGTACTATACCCTTATGGATAGTGCTTGTCTGTGATAATTTTTCTGTAAACAAGCGAGCTAGAAAACTATACCTCTTACTAACCGAGTTCAAGGGCCATACTGTAAGTTACAGACTGAGTTTTTAACTTGGAAAATTTTCCAGGTTGTAGTGGTGGGACGATTTCACTCCATCACTCCTTCACTCCTTCACTCCTTCACTGGGTCACTTCCTGTTAGACATTTGGAATCCCGGCTGGGGGGGTGACTCCCATATGAGAAGGTCAGGGATACTCGTTAGAAAATTTGAATTTAACTCCTAAAGAAGACTAATGTGGGCGTTGTTCGAGCTTCATTAGACCCCTAAGATCAGTGGAAAACAAATGAGAGTGTTTCTTTTATTATTATTTCTTTGACTGCATGCTAAAGGATACTTTGGCAGCTGAGAATGATGACATTTTGCCATCAACACCCTAAGTGAGACCAGAATCCTTGATTTGCACCCGAGATGAGGGGCATCCTTGCCTTTTTCATATAGGAGTCTCCCCGGGTTTTGAACATTGCGTTGTCCAAGGCCTTTTTACAGGCGATTGCACCATGTTAAGTTAGTTATTCTTTGAATTTCTGACACAAGTACTCAATATCTTACCGCAGAAATGATTGACATGTACATTGAACAGATTTTTGCACAGATGTTTTCATATATAGAAGCTAATTATTTTTAATAGCTCATTTCCTGAAGGTGTCTGCTTATACAGATTAAACCGTACTCAATTGCCGAAAACTGAGGAGATATTGAAAATCACAAAATTGACGAGCTGTGTGAAGTTTTGAATTATGATTCAAGCAGTGATTAAAAGGTTTTGAATGATCAACAGACAAGAGAATTGAGGGGAATTCGAACAACGTGTTCCACCTTTATTTATACAGTATTATAAACAAATACTTCAAAGATGAATACGGACATGGCAAATTGATTTGAACAAAATAGTTGATAAATAGAAAAAAAAAGACATTACACAAGACTGGGAGTTCAGCAGCCTTGGAAAGGGAAGGGAAAAAAAATGAAAAAAGAAAAGAAGTTATTGCAACATGGGATATTCGTATTTGGTAACCCATCCAAGCAGGAACCCCAACTTTGTTGAGCGGATGAGATGTGATGCTGTCCTTGTGGTATTATGACCATGTGTTGGATAATTTTGAAAGATCTCTCAAAAGGTAATAAAGAAAGAAAAAAAATCACTGATATCGCCTGGGAAAATAAGGAATGGAAAAAATAGAAATGAAAATGAGAATCTGGTACTTGCTTTGCTGATCACCATTGCTCTGCCGAAAGTGAAACTTTACTTTGCTCAAAAAAGTTTTTATTTTTTAGGTGCTTCAGCTTTTAAATCTTTACCTTTAAAAATCAAGCAAATTAGCAGTAGGGTACTATTTAGGGAGTCTGTAGATCAATTTTTTGTATAGTGTAGTTAATAAGTTACGAAGTCATTCTTATCTTATTTTAGGTTTTATCTTTATATTATGTCGAGGAAAAGGTTGTTGTTATTCTTCGTGGTAAATGCAATAATAAAGTGATTCACACCATCCATTGTACTTCTCGTACAATGGATTGATTTATGAACTATGAGACGGCGCAGCCATGGGGAGCCCTGTATCCGTGGTTATTGCTAATCTCTACATGCAGATATTTGAAGAACAAGTAATAGAGTCCGCACCTTGCAAACCTAAGATCTGGAAATGCTACGTAGATGATACTTTCACCATCCTGAATCGGGATAGAGTTGATGTCTCCCTGCAACACCTAAACAGTCAACAACCATCAATCCGTTTCACCATGGAGATCGGGAATAACAGCAAGATCACCTTTCTCAACACGTCAGTTTATAGAGAACCTGATGGCCGCCTTACCATCAGTGTCTAAAGGAAATCAACACATACTGATCAGTACCTAGCATATGATTCACACCACCCTCAGTTGTTAAAGCGCAGTATTGTGAAGTGTCTGTACGACTGGGCTAAATGTCTCATGACCAAACTATCAGTAATCGCTGGAGAGAAGAAACATCTGTCATCTGTACCTGTTTCTAACAGAGATCCCTCCTCTTTTGTACAGAAGATCACAAAGGCACGAACAACCCCAAGAAGAGAGCCCGTTGTGGAATTTAAATCCACCGCCATTTTACCTTGTGTCCAAGGAGTTTCGGAGTCTCTCCGCTACTGCCTAGAACAACAAGGTATGCGCACCGTCTTTAAGTCTGACACGACACTTCGGTCACACTTAGTGCGACCAAAGGACACCATTAACCCGGCTGAACAAGATGGTGTTGTCTACAGGATTCCCTGTGAGTGCGGCAAAGTCTACATCAGGGAAACAGGGAGATCTATGCAGGAGAGGATCAAAGAA